ATAAAGTTATAATATAGTTTAGAGATTGAACAAAAAAAAATATATATATACATATACACTAAATGTAGTAACTTTATTAATGTAAGGTCTCCTCCATAAACAATGGAATATATATTTTAGTGTTTCCCTGAAAATGTACTTTGTGCTTCATTCTCAGTGATATAAAGATCCCTATCAGGTGTAGCAAACATTTAGCAATTTAGCTAGACCAAATAGAATGCTGATTACTTTTGAATTATAATCATGTCTAGACGTTTTCTCTGATTTAGTACACTTGGCATTCAAGTGGCGCTCTTGATTGTGCAAACTCATGCTGAGTATTTCGAGTACAGTGCTGCTCAAACTGTGCCGCTCATGTTCTCAAAGCCACCGAATAACTCAACAAGACAAAAGCTTCGAAAGCTCAGTCAGCGCGCTCCGAAAGCCTTCGAATTGGGCATTTTGTTGCTGTTGTTGTTTGTATTTGTGTTCGCTTTTTATTTCGGCAGCGCGCGCATGGAAAAACTCGAGCTGAAAACTATAAATAAACGTAAGTTTTATGCAGCGCTCATTTGAAGATTTGCAAGCGGTGGGCCGTCAACAACATAAGTTCGCTGAATTTTTGTATCTTTGGCAACTGAATTGGCTAGCTGTGTGTAGGTGTGTGTTTGACACTGTTTAGCAGTGTGTGTGTGTCCGTGTGTGCGTGTGTGTGYGCAATTGCAGCAACAATTGCAGTTAACCGAGAAAACGACGGCAACAACAAACTGTTAAACTCGTGTAGAAATAAAAGTGAAGCCGGTTTTCAAAATTACGCAAAAACCAACAAACAAAAAAAAAAGAGTCAAGCGAAAATTGCCCACGTTTGTATAATTGTATGTGTGTGCGTGTGTGAGAGCATTTTGTATCTGTGTTAAATCAAGCCAAAAACAAAAACTATTCAATTTAAACAAGTTTATATTGCCAATTGTGAAAAGTGTTGTCCGATTTGACAACAACAACAGCAAAGAAAAAGAAAGATATGCAAGCGTTTTACATTTTACTAACCGTCGCGACGGTCGCACTCGGAAGTGCCGCGGCCGCCACGCTGCCAACATCCGGCCCCACAAGCGAGCAGGAGGCGGAATTTGGGACCACCTCCTCTAGCGTCTTAGAGCTAGACACAGGTAAGCGTCTGTATATATATCTAACACAATATACAGCTTTGTTTTACACGCTTATGCAACACGGCCAGAACTTGATATTTAAATGAAAAGCGAAATACAAAATCAAAGTAGGGAAACAAGTTTGTTGCCAAAGTCTTTCGTTTTTCACCAAGCGACATTTGGAATTGCGAATCGAAAATAAATTACTAATCAATTGAGTGACAAATAAACTGATATTTGTTCATGGCATATTTGACGGATTTTCGCAATTGCGGAATTCATAACAGGAAATGTTGAGAGGGGAATCTAAGGTCCCTGAATATGGGAGAAAAACATTTCTGTGGCATATGAAGTAAATTACATTATTTCTATACATATATAACCTAAAAAAATGCCTTTGTAAAAGTAAATTTTAGTGAATATTTTTTTATGTTTTACTTTTTTTTTTTCTTATATAATAATACGTAAATTTATAAGCTTTAAAAATATTTTAATTGTATTTACCTCAGTTATTTGTCGGTTCAATTAACTAAATTTTCTATATGTATTTTTTTTTTTTTTCAATACGACAACAGCCTTCGGCAGCCCATTGGCAAACTGATCGCAAAGCGTGATTTTAATGAGATTTCCTGCGCAATAGCAAAAAAATATATATCTGTAGAAATTAGCAGGTCTGCTAGCCAAAAAATAAAATTAAACAAATAAATAAATACTTTTTATTTATTTGACTCTTAACACTCGAGAGTCAAGCAATACAAAAATCTGCGCCGCTTGAACTTGACATATATTTTCGTTTTCATTTGTAGTTTACCTTTTATTATTTTTTTTTCTTCGTTTGTGTGGTAAAAGTTATAAAACCACAGTGCGGCAGCTCTGAAAGTGAATGCTGTAATACAGTCGTGGCTAGACGGAGATTCATGTGCCTTGTGCAAACGTGAATTCTCGCGAAAAAGAAAAAAAAAAAACAATTTGATTGATTATGCAAAATTACTGACAGAGAATCAACACCAAAAGTCAAACTCAAATACTGCCAATTGCATTAATTTAATCAACTGCAAAGCTAAAAATTGTTTATATATACGCATATGTGTTTGAGCTGTTGCGAAAAGAGTTCGCGACAACAAAGAGCGTTACAAATAAAAACAAAAAAACAAAAAAAACCGGCTGGCGGTGCGCACATTTCTCAAAAGCACAAAGCTAAAAACTGACCTACATCAATGCGAAAACGGCGTCATCGTCGCTGGGCCTTTCAGTTGAGAGACGCTAAAAGCTGCAATTGTAACTCGTATCTAATTGCGTAAAATGTCGAGCAACAACAAAAATAACAAAATTCAGCAGCGGCAGCAGCAGCAACAACAGAAGCTCAAGAAATTTATTGACATTTGCACTGCGACTTATGCAAACGAAAGACTTAAGCAACGAACTTCATTTCAGCTTTGGGCGTAAATTACAGCATTGGCGACGCCTCTTCAAAATCGGACACCACCCTGAGCATATTTAGTTCAGTTTAATTTGCTGTTCGAGTGCTGTTTTTGTTTGTTTTATAATTTTTATAGTTTCTTTATTTTTCGTGCTGTTTCACCTTTGACATTGAACTTGTCAGCGAAAAAGTTTCGAGTCCAAAACACGCAAACCCTCAAAATTTGGCAGAATAATTACAGACATTCAAATTGCCTAGGCGAATCGCAGACATAATCACACATTCATCACAGTTGTTAACTAAAAATAACAAACTAAAATGGAAGTTAAACAAAGTCAAGTCGAAGTTGAGCGTAATTAGAGACTTTTTAAATACTTTTGGGTATTTTATTGCTTTAAGTGCACAACAATAATTGCAATTTCATTTCCGCTTAGAAGCTATAAAGGCTTGAATGTCATTTAATTAGACATTTTGACTTTGTAAGATGACAAATCTTTAAAATGGTTTACGCTTGAGAGGCCCTATAAAAAGTTATGATATGGTATGGATGTATGTACACTTACTCATTTGATCTAACATATAAAATTTTAATTTGAAGCCTTACATATTTTTGTGCTATATATTTTGTAGAGCTTTTCGGCTTTTTAGCACCATTCGAATTTTAAATATGATATATCTTACTTTGTATTATTAATTGATCAGATTAAAGATTTGCTTTATAAATATATATACGTAGTTTTCAAAAACAGATTTACTTTTTATCTTTAAAGTACAATCGCTGGATTAAAATGTATACTTTTGGTATATTTTAGTACAAGCTTTTAAAACATGACTTACATATGCTCCTCAAATAAATTGAAAATCCCAAAAAACAAATAGGCTATAATTTATGTACAAAAAGTGAAGTACACGAGTACATTTTTAGCATACATTTTGAGCACACATTTTGAGCACACATATAACAAAATCAGTCCTTAGTTGAATTGAATCTCAATTGCAAATAACAAACCTAATGTATTTTCTTTATAATACATAATATTAAATTTGCTCATTTAAATAAAAAGGAGGTTCAATCCCAACCAACAAATAGACATTTTAATTTTTAGTACACTTTTAGTACAGCTGTTTAGCGCATCCTATTATTATTTTACTCTAGTTAGTCAACCTTCTTAAATTTTCTATAACTCATTCTGAGATTCTCCGCTAGCAATTCAAGTGTTAATTTATGAAAGCTTTGAGTTTTCTGACATCAGCTCTTGAGTTCAGTTAGGGAACGAAATAGAGCGAGAATAACAATTTCCTGAACTGAACCCAGTGTCTGGCTATTTTTAGTTTATTCCACAACTCGTTTATGTCTGTCCAACGATTATTAACTTCAATTGGCTTTGCCTGCGTCGTGTGGGGCCCAATTATAGAGACCTTGAGACAGCGAAGCGTCATTGTCACTTGTCACCCTGACACGAGGCACGCAAAGCCCACAGCAACAGCTAAAGCGAAAGCAACTGCAACAACAACAACAACAACAACATTAACAGACGCAATTTGAATATCAAAATTGAAGAGAAACCTGTGCGGAGCATGTCAAACTGTGAACTATGTGCCACGCTTGGTTAAATGCCTCGACAGGCGCTATGCGCAATGATGCATGCCTGGCTGAGCTTAGGCACGTCTATGTCTTAATCAACTGACTTTTGGCTGTTTGGCCTTTTGGCCGACTTTGTAATTGCTGTGTACTAAACTTTTGCCACTTTCACCTCTCTTACAGCATCACAGACGCCATTTGGCGGCATCGCCACGTGCAGCCTGAGCTCAGCCGAGCTGAATATTTGCATACGCGGGCTATTTGACTCGATCGTGCCTCAATTGAAGTATCAGGGTCTGTCGGAATATAGCATGGGCTCAATCGATCCGTACTTCTATAAGCGCGGCATCTTTCGGTACTCGAACGACGGCATACAGGGCGGCCTGCTCATAAAGAACATGGAAATTTATGGCATCAGTGGGCTGAAGGTGAACACCGTATCATCCAATTTCACGGACAGCGGCTTTGTCATCAAATTGGGCGTGGAGCTGCCACAGCTGAAGGCCGGCGGTTACTTTAAGGCGGATGTCAAGTTCGGCGGCCTGCGCCTGGTGCCCAAGGGACCATTCAACATTACCATTGGTGAGTAGCCCTACGATAGACTAATCAGAGTTTTTTTTTGAAAATTAAATATAAAAATCTTAATTCACAGATGACGTGAAGGCTACGATTCTAACCGATGGACACATTGAGCAGCTGCCCAGTAGCCAGCAGCGTTTGAGTTTGCATCGCCTGAATGCGAATGTGAATGTTGGCAATGCTCGGGTCTTGGCCAACGGCATCTTCTCGGACCGCAATCTGAGTAAGCCCCGCCTATAGCCTTTATCTATGAGTGTTTAATAAATTTGCTTGCCTTGCAGATGCTATGATCCTCAATTTGGTCAATGAGAATCTGCCCGAGATTACGCGCGTCGGTATTCCCGCCACCCGTGAGCAATGGGCGCCCATTTTGGTCGCGCACATCAACGAGTTCTTTGCACCGGTTCCTATAGAAAAGCTGTTGGTTCAGTAAAGTGCTCAAGGCTCAAATTGTTTGCATTTTGTAGCTAATTATTTTTTAGTTATTATATTGTATTACAAAGTATCATTTAATTTTAACGCTGCTTCCAAAAAATTAATCCGCTTCTACTTGAATTGTCAGCGATACGAAATTCATATTTATTTATATGCTTTTTCTTTAGAAATATCATCTTTTGCACGTATTATTGTTTCAACCATTTCAAAATTATTAAATTCTATTGAAAAACTGACAAAAACCCATTCGTCATTGGCTTCTACTTGCTTAAGGTTTGACGAGCACTGGAATTTTTGTGCTCGCTCCCAAAAGCAGGCTATATTTTTTGTGAATCAAGTGAAATTATTTGTAGTATGCTTTACGGCAACGGAATTTAAATTTATTAAGCGTATGGCTTAGCAAAGGAATTAATTTAAAAATTAAAAAATTTGTTAAAAATAATAATATAATAAATATAATTGGCTGAACTCGAAATTGAAAATATATACAATATAATTAATTTGCTATCTATTAAATTATTGCAAATTTTTTATTAGACACTATAGAGCTCAGCCCTAAACCTTTACTAGGGAAAGAGCTTGTATGCAGGTACCAATCCGGTGTCCTAGCGGTGATCTAGCTAAGAACGAAGAGGAGCAAGCGAATTCGTTTGCGAAGCATCTAGAAGCCAGGTTCACACCCTATGAATTTGCCACTGCTGATCAGATCGAAGAGACCACTGATAGTCTACAGACACCTCTACAAATGTCCTTACCCATTAGGGCAGTTAGGGTTGAGGAAATTGCTGAAGTCATAAAGTCCTTGCCGAATAAGAAAGCACCTGGTTATGACAGACTGAGCAATGCAACGCTAAAAGCCCTCCCTACTCGGGCGATCATCTTCATAGCTTTAATATTTAATGCTATGCTGAGGGTGGAATTCTTTCCTAAGCAATGGAAGATGGCAGCGATTGTAATGATCCACAAACCAGGAAAGCCAGAGGATGACCCAGAATCGTACCGCCCAATAAGTCTGCTGTCGTCACTTTCCAAAGTATGGGAGAGACTTATTGCCAATCGACTTGGCAATATCATCAGTGAACGTCATATCTTACCGGACCATCAGTTTGGCTTTAGAGAAGGACACGGAACTGTGGAGCAGGTTCACCGGTTGACGAGGCACATCCTTCAGGCATTTGATGACATGGAATACTGCAACGCAGTTTTTGTCGATATGNAAAAAAAAAAAAAAAAAAAAAACAAGAAATCGTATATTGAATAGATCCCAATGGTAAGATCACCTGAAACACATATATAATTCCCTAAGTCAATCTCTCTCTCTCTCTCTCTCTCTCTCTCTCTCTACATATATATATCATATTTGCAGCTTAAGCAATTTGTCAGCCATAACAAATTGAATTTTTTTATTAAAATGCCAAATTGTTTTTGGCATCGAATGTGTCATAGCTCTTTCCCCAGCTCTTACCCTGTTTGGTATGATGTCTGTGCGACTCATTGAATTACTTTCGAAAATTCAACACTCCAGATCGAATCGAGAACACTTTGCGATCAATCAACAGGCAATTGCCCCCTGGCGTCCAATTATAGACAATTAGTTGGCAAAATATTGATATGCACAGGCCCAATTGTTTGATGCCCAGCCATCTCGCCAAAGGTTGAGGCCACCATGGCCGTGACACTCGAGAACGTCACATCAATTCAGCTCATTGAAGGTGGGTGAGCCTTTTAGCCAACAGTGAGCTGGCCAATCTCTCAAACAATTGAATTCATTTCGAATTTCGAATAACACAATATAATGCATCGATACAGTTCGTGACAATTGGATTTTTACAGACATTTGTATTTTAATTGAAATCTGCATGACACTTCTCTAACACCTTAACACTTATCATAGAAATTGCGCATAAAATAATTGATTCAAATACTATAGAAAAATGGTTCAGATGGAAAGCTTATATAAATCTTAACAAAAATGGGATTCGTACTTATGTGTATATATTTTCTGATTTTTATCAATACTTAAAGATTGTTTAATTTAAAGTTCTGGTTCATATTATCGTTGCTCCCATTAATTTTTCGAATGCAGCTTAACGAAGAATGTGAAATGTGGTTTAAGTTTCGATAAATAACTTACTATTGGCTTTACTTTTATTAATTTACTAAAAACATATGAGCTTGCTTTGCATATATACAGACTATTTATTTTTATAAAACTAAAAAATAAAATTAAAAAAAATTTTTAATTTAAAAAATAGAAAAAAATATAAAAAGAATTCTTTAATGAGTATCAACTAAATATATAAAAATAAAATAAAATTACAAAAAAAAAATATTTTTTATAATAATGCTTAAATAA